TCTAGTTGTTTGTTGTTGTTGTTGTTAGTTTTGCAATTTTTTTTTTCTATTTCATCCAATTTTTTTTTTTTCTCCAGTGGAAAACTACCAAACTCGTTCCAAAAAAAAAATGAGCTTCAAGCTTTTCTTTTTTTAATTTCGCTTTTTTCTTTTTCCTTGTAATTTAAACTTTATAATTACTCTTAAAATTTTTATTATCATTATTATTTATTATTATTTATTATCATTATTATTATTATTTTTTCGTGAAAATTTTCCCCTTTTTTTCTAACGGGAACAAATGTGTGAACCCTCATAAGAATTTTTAAACATTTATTTTTAGGATCATCTCAGGAAAACTAATTCCCGAGGGATGAATGTTATGCTGTTGTTGTTAGTATTATTATTATTATTATTATTATTATTATTATTATTATTATTATTATTATTATTATTATTAATTTAATTAAAACTTTGTTTGTTATATGATTAATGTTTTGTCGAGTTTTTCTATTTTTTTTTTTTTTTTTTTTTTGTGAATATTTTCTCGTAAACAATCGACGCACAATCTTGCGTTTAATTTATTATTATTATTATTATTTTTTAAAAAGAGGAAAAAAAATGAATTGAAATTTTTAAAAAAAAATCACAAAGGAAAAAAAAAATTTTTAATCTCTATTTTTTTTTTTTTAAACCGGAAATACACCGAATCAAAAAGAAAAAAAAGAAAAATGGAGGTTTCAAAAACGCATGAATGTAAAGGATTTCATTTAAAGATCAAATAATAAATAAAAAAAAAAAAACGACGAAATAATAAAAAAGGAAAAAATTTTTTATTTTAACGAGGGCAAAACCTTTTTTTTCTTTTTTCTTTACTTTTGAATTTTCCTCCAGAAAAGAAAAGAAAAGAAAAGGAAAATGCGGTCGGAGTACTATGATAAGAACTTTAATTTTTCCTTCTTTTTTTTTCATTTTTCTTTTGATTTTTAAAAACGTTTTTTTTTTTTTTTTTTCAATCGACAACAGGTACGAATTTAATTGTTGACGTCACGTTAAAAAAAAAACTATAATTTTTTTTTTTTTTACCGGTGTGTGAATCATTCATTTTTTTATAATAAGAATACATACAACAACAACAATCACAACCACCATTTAATGTTTGGTTTTTCCAATTCGATGACATAATTTTTTGTATTGGAATTTTTTTTTTTTTCTCGCAATCCGACGTCGATGATGAACATGTATTTATAGGGACTCATTCCAACGTCGTGGAATTAGATAAAATTATTATTATTATTACGTATCTCATCGCTCTTGAGGTTGCTAAATTGTTTTTTAATATGAATGTTTTCGTGATAACAACAACAACAAATATGAAAATCAAATTGAAAAATTCTAATTATACGAAAAAATTATCATTATTACTATTATTATTATTTTCGTGTTTTTCATTCTTTCCGATAATTCGATGGGAAAAATGTTCACAAGACTTTTTATCAAATTGTTTTTTTTCTTATCACTAAAATAATTCGGCGTCGTTACATATTTTGAATGAATGGATAAAAAAAAAATTGATTTGAATTTTTTTTTCCAGTTTTTTTTCTCCATACGAATCGAATAGTGAAAATTATTTTCCGAATCGCGATCCAGTATAATCATAATGTGAATAATTTATTAAATAAACTTCTCCAGGCTATTCGGGGAAAGGGGAGGGAAGGGGGAAATATAAAATATGTATATATTTTCTTTTAGCGAAATTTTCCGAAATGAATTTTGCAATGTGAAAATTTTCATTATTTTTTTTTTCGATAAAAGATGGCGTTGATCACCGTTTAACGTTTTTTTTAACGATTTAAATTTATTTGTTATTGTTATTATTATTATTATTATTTTTTCATCACTCGAAGAAAATTGTTTATTAATTCATTTACGAGAGAAAGAAAGAAAGAAAGAGAGAGAGAGAGAGAGAGAGAGAGAGATATGTATCGCATGCATTGATAAAAAGGAAAAAAAATAATCGAAATCATATTGAATTTATTTATTGCATTCTAGTTACACGACGCTTCCTCTTGTGCTGCTCTGTGAATTTTCCACGAAAAAATGAAAATCCTATAAATTATTACCCGGATTATTATTATTATTATTATTATTTTTCGATTTACTTATTTATTTTTAAATATACACATATATATTTATTTACATAAATTTTCTTTCGTTCGTTTTTATTTTTTTTTTTTACTATTAATTCAAAAATTAAAAATTCGGCGATTTAATTCCGGTCGGCGGTGGGAGTAGGAAAGGAAAAAAGACAAAGGAAAGGAAAGGAAAGAAAAGAAAAGGGAAATTTTTTTTTCCATTTTCATTTTCATTTCATTTCGAATTTTTCTCCATTTGTTTTTCTTTTCCCTTATTTTTCTTTTCTTTCTCTCTTTTTTTTTCGTTCTGTGTTTCGAGTCTCGTTTTTTTTTTTTTTTTAAAGTGTTTTCCTCTCCCTCTTTTTCTTTCTTTATTTCACGTTTTAATTTGAGGCTGGCCTCATTAAAATTCCGCCGTTTTTAAATTTTTAAAAAATTTTCACGGAAAGATTTGAAAGGCTTAGTTTAAAAAAAATTTAATGTTGTTTAAACGATTAAGAAAGAAAAAAAATAAAAAAAATAAGAAAGTACGTTTTCAAATGAAATTAAAAGGAGAGAGAGAGAGTGAGTGAGAGTGAAAGAGAGAGAAAGAGAGAGAAAGTCGAAAACGTGTTTTAAACAAAATATATTAATTATATATATATCCATATAAAAAAAATAATTAAATAATTGCAAAAGAAAAAAAAAAAAGCAGTAGAAACACGTTTAACGAGTGCGTGTCGTTGGTGTTGTAAATGTCGTCGTCGTCATCGTCGTCATTTTCGTCGTGTAAAACATTAAATGGTGATAAATTTTATTCTGGAAATTTCCAATCGAAACTTGCTTGCTATTAATGCCTCAAGTTGTCGTCGTCGTCGTCGTCGATCGAGTTTTTACATTTAAAAAAAAAAAAAATTTTCCTTTTCCTTTCTCTCTTTTTTTTTTAATCATTCATCGTCTGCTGCTTCTGCTCATTATAATTTTTTATTTTCTCTCTTAATAAAACTAAAATAATTTTTTTTCTTTTTTTTTTGACATAAACAAAACTATCGAAAAAGTTTTCAAGTGTGTGTGTGCGTGCGTGTGTGGGTGTATCGAATCACTGAACATTTCGACTTTTGCTCCCCCCCCAAAAAAAAAAAGTTTAAATTTTTTTCTGAACCGGTTAGTTTCGAACAATTTTTTTTTCCCTTCGTATCCCGAAACAAAATTATTATTATTATTATTATCAAAGTAAAAATGTCTAAAACACACACACGTGAATGAAGTTTAACCGACTGTGAAAGAAAAAGAAAAAAAATTTTTTGTTTAAATTATAATAAGTTGTAACTTTGGGTTTTAAAAACATTTGAACGGATTTTTCGGTTGATTGACTCGTTTAGAAAAAGTAGGGAGAAAGGGAGGAAGGGGGGAATGTTGAGGAATTTTTTTTATTTAACTTTGCTGCGGTTTATATATCGCCTCCCACCCTCGAGCAAAAGAGTTTTTAAACTAATCAAACGAAGGAACCGAAATTTTTTTTTTTAAAAAAGATGAAAAATGATAGAAGACCCTTTAAACCATTTTTAAATTATTTAAAATTTAAAAAAAAAAATTTGTTTGTTTTAAACGGAAACGGAAACAAATCGTTAAAAAAAATTCGCGCCACGAAATTATCGACTCGTATTTTTGTTTTTGAAAAATTTTCTTTGTTTTTCTTTCCCCCTTTTCCATTCCTTTTCATCCCTTTCTTCCTCCCTCTCTTCCTCCTCTTGAGTGTTGTTTTCCGTCACATCTTTTTCGATTTTTAAAATGTTATTGCCTCCCCGACGGAAAAAAAGGAAAAAAAAATTTTCTTTTCTTTTCTTTTTTTTCTCAGCAGATTTTCTTTTTTTTTTCTGGCGTAAACCGAACGGAGAGAAAAAGGGAACGAATTATCCACAAATAAGAATTCCCGAGAGCAAAATACGTATTCACACGAAGTTAACATTTTTTGTAATTTTTTTTCTCTTTCTTTCTCTCTCTTACTTTTTCCGCTTTCGCTCTTCTCCCCCTCCCCCACCCCTTCACTCCCCGTTTTCTCTTGTTTTAAGTTTAATATTCCAGGATTTTTTTATACCATCCTTAAAAAAGAAGAAAAGAGTTAATATTTCTTATATTTCTTTTCTTTTCTTTTTTTTTCCGTATTTCACATCGGAAAATTTTATTTTTATTTATCACGTAAAAAAACGCGTTTGTTTTTCCAGGTTTTTTTTTTTTTTTTTAAAAAGAAAAGAAATGTGAAACCTGGAAAATAAATTTAAAAAAAAAAAAATTATTATTATCATTATTACGTCGGTAAATTTTTCTTTTAAAATTTTTTTGAAAAAAAAAAAAACAAATTAAGAAAATTTTCTTTCGATAGTTAGACGTAAGAAAAATTAAAGAGAAAATGAAAATTATCATCATTATTATTATTATTATTAATGGAGTAACGCGATGACAACTTTTTGCTGTTAAAAAAAAAAAAAAAGATTTTAAAGTTTGTCACATCTTGAAATTTATTGTAAATATACAAGAATTTTAAATTAAAGTTTGTTTGTTTGTTTGTTTTTTTCTTTTTATTATTATTATTATTATTTTCTTTGATTTGTTTAAAAATTTTTATAACTTTTTTTTTGTTTTGTTCTGTATGTGGGTATTTAAAAACTAGAGGGGAAAAGTTTAAATTGTGACGTCACGAATAATTTTTCTTTTTACCACATTTGGAAAAGTATTACAAGGGCAAAAATATTTTTTAAAAAAATGACTCGATGAAGGTTTTTTTTTTTGCAAAGTCGAGGAAATCGTGATTTTTTGTTTTAAAAAGAAAAACATTTTAAAACCACGTGACTTTTTTTTTTAAATAATTTTTTTTGTTTTCTTTGTTATCAGGGTGAAAATTCGAGGATGGATTCGTTTAGAAAGCTTTGGCTGTTGATATTTCTCGGTGCCGGCGTACTTATGCTCCAATATCATGTTTCGACAACGTGGAACACGACAAACATTTCCGTACCATCATCGTATTCTTCTGCTTCCACGAGCGGAAGTGAAGAAATCGTTCAAGCCGTCGTATCGAAACTTCAATTGGATACTTCGATAGTCAACGTAGTCGGTAAATAAAAAAATAATAATAATAATAGTAATAATTAATAATTATGCATTTTTTTTTTTCATTCGTTCGTGTTTGGTTGTTTGTTTTCATTCGTGACTTTATTTGCATTAGAGAGTTTTAAACTTGTTCTTGTGACACTTTTTTTTTTTTTTTGTAATCAATAAATCGATAAAAAAAAATTTAAAACTAATCAATATGCGGAAACGAATCGTTAAAAAATTATTATTATTTATTTATTTATTTATTCATTTAAAACGCATCAAATTTTATAATTTAAGCCGGTGAAAAAGAAAAAGAAAAATAAGGAAGAAGGAAAACGATGAATAAAATTAGGCAAAATCCTACATTTTATTGATTTTTTGTTTTGATATTAATAATAATAATAATAATATTAATCCGTCGGAATTTTTTTTTATTCTTTTAATGAGAAAAAAAAAAAAAAATTTTTTTTCTCCCTTTTCCCTCTTTTTTTTTTTTTTTAATGAGATTTTTGTGTAATTAATTATATAATTAATGATCATAAATTAAATAAAACCGTTTTTTTCTCACCCCCTTCGCACACCCCCCGGCCTTCCCTCCCTCTCCCCGTTCTCGACACTCGCGTTATTCTCGTTCCACGAACATCGAAACCGTAAACTTTTCTCTCCCCGATTTTTCGTAAAAAAAAACGTATAATCAATAATTCGATAACGTTAGGAAAATGCCTAAATTAAATTTTAAGGCGTTTTTTTTTTAATTGGGAAATTGGGGAGATGAGGAGGAGGGAAGGAAGAAGAGAAGGAAAGAAGGGAAAACGCGGCGATAATATATTGCGGGTGATAAATTTAATTTAATTTAATTTAAATTTTTTTTTTTTTTTTAATACGAAATTAATTAATTGTAATTTTTTTTTTTTAATTGATCGCGATGCATTGAATTTTAAATTTTCGGATCAATTATTACGTATTTGAAATTAATAATAATGATGATGATAATGATGATGATGATGATGATTTTTCTTATTGTTTTTCAATAGATTCGGAAAAAAAAAATTTTAACTCGCGACGGAAACGATGAAAAAAAAATTTTTTTTTTTATTAAAAAAGTTTTTTATTGTTTTTCTTTCGTAAAGTTTTATTATTATTATTATTATTATTATTATTATTATTATTATTATTATTGTTTCATTTCGTTTTTTAAAAAAAATCTATATACGTTATCACTGTAATGATAAAAACGTAAATAAGTTTTTCCCCGTAAAGTTTTTTCGTTTGTTTTATTTTTTGATTTTAAATTTAAAATTTTTTGTTTCCGTTTCCCGCGCTTACGAATTTTCTTTAAAAAAAAAAAAAATTTTTATTCATACTGGAAAAGTTTTCATTTTTTTTCTACATAAAATTTGATTTAAATTCAAGGAAATAATTTTATTTTATTATTATTAAGGTAAAAATTATTTATTTAAATTTAGAATTTCCCAAAAAAAAAATTACAAGTCACGAAGTCACCCGAAATCATTTTCTCTTATAATTATTATTATTATTTATGATAATTTTTCACCTCTCCTTCCACGTCCCGGAAATCAAAATTTTATTGTGTGACGTCATTTTTCACATCAATTTCTCATTCATATAAATAAAATTTTTTTATTGAATTTTTTCGTAGGAATTTCCGTTAATTATCACAACAACTACCGCCAAAAGAAATAATAATAATAATGATGATGATGAAAACTTATTTTTCAGGTAAAAAATACATACAAGAATTGGCGTTGCAAATAAGTAGAGAATTGATATCGTCGTCAAAAGGCTGTGATTATTCAATATCGAATACAATCGAATGGCCGGAACCGACATTATATTTGATAACTCCGACCTACAGGAGACCGGAACAACTCGCAGAATTGACGAGAATGGCTCAAACTTTGATGCACGTGAGAAATCTCGTTTGGTTGGTCATAGAGGATGCAAATTCGACGACGGAATTAGTGACAAAACTTTTGGATAAAACGGGAATCGAATATCATCACATGATAGGTGAGACAGAGACAGACAGAGAGAGAGTGTGTGATAATAAAATGCACAAAACAAACGAGAAAAGAGAAAACATTTTACGAACCTCTTTAGACCAATGAGCTGTTAAATCTAGTGTCACTTCATTAATATTAAACATCGAACGTGGCACCAACGGCCACGAAAATATTAGAAAACATCGTTTTAAATAATTCATCAACTTTAAGAAATAAATAATTTATTACATGACCCAAATGTATAAGTGTACACAAATCGGTAGGGGACGGGAAGGGGGGAGGGGGATTTCGTCTTTTCGGAATGTAAATACGGTACAGACACGCGCACTCACACACACGCACACCCCTCGTTACAAGATGTATCAAATCGGAAATTGAATCACTTTTCATTCGTTATTTGATACCGACGAAGAGTCGCGCGTAATAATTTATTTACTCAAAATGATTATTATTATTATTTTCTTCTTATTTTCAGCTCCCATGCCTGAACAGTTCAGAAAGAAAAAAATAAAACCCCGCGGGGTTTCAAATAGAAACAGAGGATTGGAATGGATAAGAGCAAACGCGACAAAAGGCGTTCTATATTTTGCCGACGATGATAACACATACGATATATCACTTTTTCAAGAGGTAAATAAAAAAAAAGTAAAACTATTAAATAAAAACTTAGCAGACGTTTTTTCATTACTTGCACGAATCGGAGTTCACGTAAATGATAATAATAATAATAAGTTTTTAAAAAGGAATGTGTGTGTCGTCTGCAATAAGAATTTTCTCTCTCTTTTTTTTCTTTTTTTTTTGCGTGTAATAAAATAATTTAAATTAAAATGTAACGCGTATGTAATGCGTATTACTAGTGACACGACGATTTGTTTGTCGTTTGTTTATTTTTTTTTTAAACAAACGACAAACGGGTAAAACTTTTCATCATGTTTCGTCATCTGTTATTATTATTTTTTTTTTCTTACGAGATTTACTTCCGGCGAAAAAAATTTAAAAAAAAAAGAAAATTCGAAAGGTTTTTCATCTTAATTTACAAAAAAAAAAAAAAATTAAAATTAGCAGACGATATTTTTTTTCCTGTTTTTGTAAAGTTTTTCTTTTTTTTCCCGGAATATTTTTTTATCCGTTAAAAAAAAAAAAAAGAAAAATTTATTTTCCTCTTTTTTCTTTTTCTTAACTTCTTTTAACCTTTAACGACTTTGGAAAACTTTTTCTTTTTTTTTATCGGAAAAATAATAAAAAAAAAGAAAATTTTCTAAAATGTAACGCGAAATTCCCCTACCCCCACTTTCCTGTCGCACCCTTGACACCCTTCCCCCACTCCCATCCCCACCCTAACTCCCTCTCACCCGCACATCCTTCACGGCTCCTTCCGTCTAAATTTTTCTTTTTTTTTTTGTTAATTAAAATAATAATAATGATAATAATAACGATTTTTAACATTTGCGTGACGACACACAAAAAAATAAAAAATTTGGGGGAGGGAGGAGAAAAGAAAAGCGGGAGAGCGGGGGAGTGAGAGGGGGGAGAAAAAAATTTTTTTTTATTCTCTCAACTCAACTTTTCAACTTTTTTTTTTTTTTTTTTTAAACTCGACAACAACAACAACAACAAACGGTGGAGAGAAAAAAAAAAAGTTTTCAATTCAATACGCTAATATAGATTTCACTTAAAGTTAAACTAATTGAACTTTTTTCTTTCTCTCTCTAAAATTCCGTTAAGTTTTTTCCGTTACACGCAATCGAGAATTTTCAACGGGAAGAAAATAATAATAATAATGATGATGATGATGAAGATAAGAGGGAAATGCAAAAAAAAAAAAATAATTTTTAATTATTTTCAACATTTTGAATAGTATTATTACGTATGCGTGAGTGCGTGCGTGTGTGTACACGTGCGCGTAATTTAGTTTTAATTACGAAACACAATTTGGTGCTGACGTTCTTGTTGTAGTTGTTGTTTGTTGTTGTTGTTGTTGTTGTTGTTAGAGTTAGTTGTAAAAAAAAAAAAAAAAAAAAAAAACTTTGGATTGATTTTATACTTATCGATCAGTGGAATTGTCCAGAACCAATCAAAAATTATCCTCAAGGGATCAAAGTTGAGAGAGAGAGAGAGAGAGAGAAAACAAGAAAACTTTTCCGTTTTCTGTTGAACGAAATTATTTATTCGATTTTTTTTCTCTCAAAAAAAAAAAAAAAAAAAAAAAATTTTTTTTTCTTATAGTCTATTGCTTCTCAACAGACGGTAATTTTTTATTATTATTATTATCATCATTTTGTTTTTTATTACCGTGAAAGTTTGAAAAAAAAATTTTATTGAATTCGAGATGAATGAGATGATCGAGAAAAAGAGAGAGAAATGAAGAGTGGGGGCGGGGAAAGGGGGGAAAAGGAAAGTAAGAAAATCCAGAGTAGAAAAAAAATTTAATGGACTTTTTTTTTTTACTTTTTATTACCAACCGATTGTCGTAAAAATTAAAGATGGCGGTCGTGGTGGTAGTAATAGAAAAGGTGTGGGGGGCCCCGCGTAAAAAGTTTTCCCGCAAAAATTCAAAACTTTAAGTGGACGCCCCGAAAAAGGAAAAATTGGTCACGAAAATACTGTTGGAGAAAAAAAAAGTTACGGTCAAACTCGTGGAAAATTTTATTTTTCATTCGATTTTCCTTTTTCCGGTCGCGGAAAATTAGTAGGGGTCAAAAGGAGGAAATTGTAATAATAATAATAATAATAATAATAATAAAATTTTACGTCGCACGAATGCAGTCCGTTTTTTATCGTAAAAAAAAAAAAAAATTCGTGCCATTTTTTTTTTTATATTTTTTTTTCTGGAATTTTACTGGAATGCTGGAGAAACAATATATTGAATTTTATTTCGGTTCAATGATTCAATAAAATTTATCGATTTGATAAAAAAAAAATTTTTTTTTTGATGACCTCAACGAAACGTTTGTCATATTATTTTGATTGGCATAAAAAAAAAGAAAATGGGTAAAATTCAAAAACGTTTAAATTTTCCGGTAAAAAATGTAAAAAAAATTATTATATTCTGTTGAGAGTCAAAAAAGAAAGGAAAGGATGAAAGGAGGGGGAAGAGGAATGAGAGGAAGAAAAAAGAGGAAAAAAAGGTTTAGAAAAAAGGAAAAAAAAGGGGGAAAAGGTCGAGACTTTCCACGAGAGCTGAAGAAAACCTACGCAGACGGGATAAATACGTAAATTTTTTATGATTTTTAAAAATGCAAAACTTAAAAACAGGGTGGGGGTGGGGGGCGGGTTGGGGGGGGGCGGAAAGAGAAAATACTTTTTCCAAAAGGTTGAAGGTTTTGTACGTTGAGTATTTGACCGTGAAAAAAAAGAGGGGGAGGAATAAAAAAAAAACCTAAAAAGCTAAAATAAACAACGTAAAAGATATGGAAGAGAGAGATTTTTTTTCTGAGAGGGGAGAGGAAGAGGGGAAGAGAAACGAAAAAAAGAAACCCTGACGAAAGTGGGGAAGGAAGGGGGAGGAGAAATTTTAACTTTTCAAAATTAAATCGTATTCGATTCAGTTTAAAAAAAAAAGAAAAATTTTATAAAATGTTCGTTTGACGTTTGCCGCACGTTTGCCGTTTTTTTTTTAAATGGGGGGCGGAAAATTAAATTTGTTTTTTCACTTTTACGTAAAGTCAGTCGATAATGATTATTATTCTATTTAGACTTAAAAAAAGGCGGCAAACTGTCTGCTCCAAGTCATTTTTTTTTGTCGCCTCCAGGAAAAAAAAAAAATTCAATCTGTTGTCCTTTGGAAAATTACTTTCGAAATTTCTTTTTTTCGACTTTTAACAACCTAAAAAACAAACAACGCCATTTTTTTTATATATTACGTCATAATTTTTATTTCATATATTTTTAATAAATATTTTCACAAGAAAAAAAAGAAAAAAAAAATGGGAAATGGGAAAAAAATTATATGAGGCTGGGTATCAGTTTAAACCATCTGGAATAAAAAAAAGTTTTATTACTGGAAAATAAAAATGATTTTTTTTAAAACTCTGGAAAAGAGTGGAAATAAAAAAAAAATTTAATTTTTTTTTAAACGTTGACGTCGATCAGATCAGGTGCGAAAAAAAAATTTTTTTTTTTTTTTCTATTTATTGGATTTCATGCGGAAAATTTTGTTTGGTTTTTTTTTTTTTAAATTTCGTTTCCGGTTGAGAGTAAAAATATTTTCACATTCAAACATTGGAATCGGATAAGCAAGGAAATGAGTGCGAGTGTGTGTGTGTGAGAGAGAGAAGGAAATTCCCGAAAAAAAAAAAATAAGGATAATGATAAAATAGAAAAAAATTGAAATTCGTTTCGCCTTGTTGGGGAGGAAAATTCACGTTTTCCGGTTTTTCTTTTTTTTCTTTCTACCCTAAAATCGTTCTTTATAAAAACCAAGTTTTTCATTCCCCTTTTGGGAAATGACACATTCGCCCTTTCCCTTTCCCCTCCCCTCTTCCATCCTTTCTCCGCTCCTCTTCTTTCCCTTTTCCCCGTTTGTCTTTACTACGTTCCCTCGACAATCACAATTCTAATTCACTTTCCCTTAATATTTCAGAGACTTAGTTTATCAAAAAAAAAAAAAATCCCCCTTTTTTTTTTCTTATAAAAAAAAAAACTTTTTGTTATAAATAATTCGGTCGTTTTCCCGGTTTTTATTTATTTATTTATTTATTTTCGATTTAAATTTAAAAAATAAATAAAATTTGCCTTGTCCAGTTTTTTTTTTTGTTTTATTTTAAAGTTTGTAAATCCATTTTCTCTTCACTTATCGATTCGAAATGAAATTTTTTTTTCAATTTATAAAAAAAAAAATAATTTAATTTAATAATTTAATTTTTAAAACTAAATCGAATTTTTTAACGGATTCAAAATAAAATTTGAAAAAAAAATATAGAATTTACCGGGGAAGGCAAAGCAATAGGAAGAATTCGAAGCGATGGAAAGTAAATAAATAAATTAAAAAAAATTTTTTTTTTTAAGGTTGGCAACCTTGTGATTTTTCCAGTTTAGAAAAAATAAATTACACGAGTCATTTTTTTTGTTTTTTCATGCGAAAATATTACGATTTAATATTATAATATAATTTTTTATTTTTACGCGATTGTCTGTTTGCTGTTTATTATTATCATCATCATTATTATGATTCTTTTTCCCCGATAAAATTAGGTATATCGGATTTATATTCAAATTGTCGGGGATAAAGAGAGAGAATGATTTAAAAGCATTTTCGTGTCACAAGTCATTCATTCATAATGTTTTTAACTCGAAAAAGGAAAACAAAAAAGTTTTTGAAATCTCATTTAAAAGAATGAAAACCCGTCGACACACGCGCACACACACGTGGTGCACGTGTGTCTTTTATCATTACACGCATATTTCATTTATATAAAATTCTAATACGATAATAATATAAAACTAAAAGGAAAATATATATACATTTATATGTTATTTACTATTTATTTTCAAACTATTATTATTATTATTATGAGTAATGACGGCATTTAATTCGTCACCATTTTATTCCATTAGTGGTAGTTGTAGTAAAAAAAAAAAAAAAAAAAAACTTTGTAATACGTTGTCACAAGTTGGGAGGAAAATGGAAAAGTTTTTCTATCTCTTTCTCTTTCCCTCTCTCTCTCCCTTTCTCTTTCTCTCTCTCTCTCTCGATTCGTTAAAAATCAATTTTTCTTTTTTTTTTTGATGATTGAAAAAATGTAATTTTTTTTGTTTTTTTGTTGTTTTCAGATACGAACGACTAAAAAGGTTTCCATGTTTCCCGTTGGCCTTTGTACGAAATTCGGCGTGAGTAGTCCGGTTGTTAAAAATGGAACTTTTGCCGGTTTTTACGACGGTTGGTTGGGAGGACGAAAATTTCCCGTCGACATGGCGGGTTTTGCAATCAATTTAGATTTTTTACTCAAGGTGGGTGAGTGCGTGTACACGTGTGCACGTGTGCGATTCGCGATCACGCACGTTTAATCTCATTTATGTGTGGTGAGAGAGAGAGAGAGAGAGAAAAAAAAAAATCAGCCACGATGATGCAGATGGAAAATTTACCCTAAAAATTTTAACGAACGGGGGAAAAGGGGGTGGGGGGGTTTTTCTTCCTATTCCGAAAAACAAATTACGTTTTTGTTAATTTTTTTTTTTGGTTTTTTTTGTTGGGGAGGTTTTTGGGGTTTTGTTTTTACTTCGTTTGGTTTTGACCCTAGTTTTAACCCCTCTTTGAAAAATTTTATTAGATTTTTCCTTTTTTCCTTTTTTTCTTTTTATCGTCCAAACCCGAATTTAGTAAATTGAATTTCGTGTGTTGATAATTTTTCCGTTTAAAACTGTACGTCGTCGACATTTTTTTTTTTACAATTTCAGACATATATGTAACGAATGTAGTGGTTCTAGTGATAGTAGTGGTAGTAGTTGAAGTAGTGGCAGCAGCAATAACGACAAACGGTTTTAAAAATTAACGCGAATGACATTTCTTTCCATGAAGTGTCATTAAATTTCACGATTTTCGTTTTTTTTCTTTTCCTTTTTTTGGTAAATTATGCATTTCCTTTGTCAAATGTATAATTTATTCGTTGCACATACACACAAAAAAAAAATAAAATGTAACGTTTGACGTCGTTCCTTAAAAAAACGGAAAAGTTGAATTTTCAATGAAAACGTTATAAATTTTTATTTTACTGACTGACGACTGACGTTTGTTGTCTTTTACCCGTCAAATAATTTTTATCTATATATAATAATAATAATAATAATTTTTTTATTTAAATTTAGAGACCAAAAGCTTCGATGCCTTACAAACCTGGATTCGAAGAAGATGGATTCCTAAGAAGTTTATCGCCTTTCGAACCTAAAGAAGTCGAATTAAAAGCCGATAATTGCACAAAGGTAATTTAAATTAATATTTAAAATTTCGATGATGATGACGATAATCATTCGATTGACATCTTTTCGATTCGAAGATAAGAATGTTATCTATCTTTTATTTTTATTTACAATTTCCTATTTTAAAATATTATTATTATTATTATTATTATGATTAGTACGATAATAAATTTTCGGAAAAGTTTTTTTTTCGATGGCCTTTCGAACTAAAAATACCCAAAACTAACGACGAATTGTGGTGGTAAGAACCACCAAAAAAAGGAAAACGATGAGGGGAGGAGAGGAGAGTGGAGTGGAGGGGGCCACACACAAAAGGGTAAATTGAACGTGTAGGTAAAAAAAACCGCAAAACCTTTGACTTGTGTTGAAACCTTTGTTGTTGCTATTGTTACCTTTTTTTTTGTTTTTCGTTTCCCCCCCTCCCCCTCCCTTTATCTTGTCATTAATTAATTAAACATTTTCTTATTTGTAAATATTTTTTTTTTGTATTCATTCCGTTAAAATTATTATTATTATTATTATTACTATTAATTTCCTTTTAAAATTTCCTTTAAAAATTATATTTTCCGAAAAGAAAATTTTACAAAAAATTATTAATCGATCATTAGAGACATCTATTGTGATTTTTAATAATTATTTTAAGTAGAATTTTCATCATGGCCGCGCAATTAAATATTTATATCAAATGATTTATAAATATATATATATATATGTATATTTATTGCGATGTCGTGTCGTGTCGTGTTGCGTGTGTGTGTGTGTGTGTGTGTACGTACGTGCGACACATGGCGAATATAATATGGCTGACGTAGTTTTATGGAAGGTCACGAACTTTAAACTTTTCGAACGTCGACCCCGTAATTATTCACGTTTTTATTATTATTATTATTTATTTTTAGATTTAAATCAAAATGAAATAATAATAATAATAATACTATTTTTTAATTTTCCTCTTTTTGTGGAACCGGCGAATTTTTTTTTCGCATATTATTATGATTATGTTGATGATGATGATGATAATAATAATGATAATGATTTGGTTACAGATTTTAGTCTGGCACACGCAGGCTAGAAAAAACGAGCCTTCAGCAGCCGTCGATTTTAACAAATATGGAAACACAAACATAATTAAATTGAAAAAAATCCTCGTTTAGCATTCAAAAGAAAATTTGATGGCGAGCTTCCTTATTGACGGCCTAACCGAACGTCAACGTCAACAACCAGCAACAGCGACAGCAGAAGCAACAGCAAAAGCAACGGCAACAATTAATTTTATATTTTATTTTATTTTTTAATTTGAAATATTGCTTTGACGTTTTCTAACGTTAAAAAAAAAAAAAAACGTCAAACGTAACGAATAAATAAAAAACGAATGATTGAATGAATGAATGGATGAATGAAGGAAGGAAGGAAGGAAGAAGCGAACGAATGAATGAATGAATAAATCAAATGAATGAATCAGGGTTTCGATAATGGAAATTGAAAAAAAAAAAAAAATTTCCTTTTTTTTTTTTTTTTTTTGTGTAAGTTTCCCCCCCGAAAAAGACTGAACATAAATGTTTATTATTATTATTATTATTACTATTATTACTATTCTTATCATTATTATTATTATTATTTTATTTTTATTTTTTTTAATATCAAAAAATAGGCAGTAATTGTGTAAATGTACATACGAAATGTAGATTTCTTTTTTTTTTTTTCGGAATGACGTCATTGTCGTCATTACGTGTACTACGCTGCGAAAAGCTTTCTTTATATAGATATGATGATGATAATAATAATAATAATAATAATGATAATAATGATAAATTAAAATGCTTCTTAAAAACCGTCGGAAACGTTTTTAAGAACGAATTCTTATTATTACTATTACTATTATTATTATTATCATTACTACCATTACTATAGTTATTTTGTATTACTATTATTATTATTATTTTTTTTTTTTTTATTTAGATTATAATTTTATAAGTAGGGAGAGATTTATTTAATTATCGAACATAACCCGTTTAACCATATCCGGTTTTTTTATTTGTTTTTTTTTGGGGGGAAGGAGGGAGGGTAAATTTTTTTATGTGTTTCGTTATCATTATCACGTCGTATTCGCATTTGAACATTATAAAAAATATGCGTGTATGTGATGAAAACTCTCTCACTCACACACGTGCGTACCACAAACGATTTTTAACGCGTAAAAAAATTAAATTTATTATTATTATTATTATTACTATTATTATTATTATTAACGCGTGCGTTTTTTCTCTTTTTTTTATACGTAAGTTATTTATAAAAATTATTAATGTTTAATAACATATACAATTTTGATTTAGTTTTTAATATATATAAATATACACAGACAAATATAAAAAATGATTTTTTTTTCCCGCCATGATGATGATAATAATAATGATGATGATGATAATAATAAATAAGTTAACGACTACCTTAATAAAGTTCCAATCGTTCGACAGGAAATAATAATATTAAAAAAAATTAACGAAAAATAATAATAACATGAATCGTACTAAAATTGTAAATAATAATAATAACAATGATAATAATAATAATAATAATAATTAAGTAAATAGTATTTCATCGAGCGAGAGAGAGAAAGAGAGAAGAAATAATAATAATAATGGAATCTTTGGAAATAATAAAAGCGATAATAAAACATGTGAAAAAATTAACAACGACGACAGGATCGAATAATAATAATAACAATAACAACCATAACAATAATAATAATAATAATAATAATAAATCAATAGATTCGAGGTTAAATTTAAACGACGTAAATATAATAATAAAAATAATATTGAAATTTTTTTATTTTATAGGACCGTTAATAATAACAGTTTTAATTTATCAATATTTAAAATATTTATTAATAATAAATGCAAAAGAATATGAAAGGTCGATACGGGGAAGGTACGGATACATAAAAAAAATGAACAAAAGATTAAAATTATTGGTTAAAAAACACGGGAACATCTATTTCCGGTACATGCCTATGAATCACGGCGTCACACTTCCGCAACCTTACACTCTATTCGTTGCTATTAAAGAAATATTAATGGATACTGACAGGCCAGGTAAGATTTCATCTCGGTCGATCCATCGATTAGGATCGTTTAAATAGAATTCATCCATATTATTATTATTATTGGAAAATGCGGGGGTGGGAAGAAAATACGTTTTCTTCAACTGAGGTGAAAGAGAGAGGAGGGGAGGGGGTCATCATCATTTGAAAAAAAAATTTTGTGGATATTTTTCAGCTACACGTGGAATACGTAAAAATTTCTTATTCGATCTAACGCATAATAACGGAGGAGGAGGTGGAAGTGGTGGTGGAAACGAACCGGAAATATATAAATTATTAGAAAAAAATAACGAAAGGGATAATTTCGATTACGATAACGGAAATGATGATAGTAATGATGACGATGATGATGATGATAGCGATCCGTTATCGAATTTTAATATCGATATAATGAAATGTAGCAGAGAATTAATTATACAAGGGATAAAAGATTTTGAAATTATGTTTACCGTATTTAAAGTCCTCGAAACGGTACTGGACGATTCCGACGAATGATAATGATAATTTTTCTACGTCATTTAATGTCGGTGAGAATGGATAAGATAAACAAACAAACGACAGCAACAGCAACAGCAACAAGAAAAACATTTTTTTTTCATTTTTTTATTATTATTATAATGCTTTTAATCAATAGGTAAGTTTTATGTTTTATGTTTTGTTTACAAATTTTTCAATTTGTTTAAAACGAGTTTTTCAAAATTTTTAAGGGATTCATTTTGATCTGCTTCCACGTAAACCTAAAAAATAAAATCGATAGTAAAAAAAAAATAACTTTACTTCTAATAAAAATTTTTTGTTTGTTTGTTTGTTTGTTTGCTGTATACTCACGTTGTTAAAAACGATTGTCGGTATAAATTTAATTTTAGGTTTGAAATCAAGAGTTTTTTTACCATTTAACAATTGATATTTTTCACCTTCCGTACCTGAAGCGCAATTTTCAACACCGTCGTAAGAATAATTTAATTTTTTAGCACACTGTAAATAAATAAATAAATTATTATCATACGTTTCCCTTCTTATTTTTTTTTTAAATTATAATAATAATAATGATTACTTCTTGTCCAGCCGTTGGTGGATTGTTTGTTGACATCGTACAAACACCAAAATTAACTTGTTTTTCATTATTATCGTGACGTGAGTAAAAACATGCGTGTAAAACGTTACCCAAACATTCTTTCGGTCCGTGTTGACATTTAACAACAAATGGATTTTCTTGAACCTAAAAATTTTCCGTTTCGTTTTCAGGTACGAAATTATCGTTAATAATGCTTTTTTTTATTGATTATCTACTCACCCTACCGTGACCGAACGGTACCAAATCGAAAAAAACTTTTTCTCTTATTTCATCATTTTTATAAGCAGAAGAAAGTTGATTTCTAAAAAATCTCATTGAATCCGGACATAAAGTTTCGTAGAAAATTGTGACGTTGAGCACAGAACCCGAACATGACTTTAATTAATTAATTAATTAATTAATAATTAAATTATAAATTTAAAAAAAAAATGAATTAAATACCTGTACGGTCATTCCTGTTGCTACCAACAACATGAAAATTAATCCGCCAAACATTTTCCTTTTTGTCCACCCACTCAGTTGTTTGTGTTTGTTCGACTAATTTTTCTATTCTTATGTCCGTTTTCGGTCCGAAAATTTAATTATATATAAGAAAATTTGTATATCATTACGATAAGAATAATTAATGATAAGATTATTATTATTATTATTATTATTATTATTATTTATCATTTTAATTGTTTGTTATTTTAATTTATTAACGTTTGTACTCGTAACTAATTGTTTGTTCTTCAAATTTAACACCATGTCCAACAAATATTACGAAAAATTTTTCTAGAATTTTCTTTTATTTTATTATTTTTTCGATAACTGATAATAATAATTAATGGATGCAATCGATGTAGTTCTAGAAATTTCTTAATCCCTTATTCATATAATATTTAAATTTTACAAATTTTCATCACCGCTATCACTATTATTATTATCTCTTTTTTTTTTTGTTTGCTTAAGTAGAAAATTAATTGATGGATTTAAAATGAAAATAAATTTAATTAAAATATTATTATTATTATTATTTATTTATTTATTTATTGTTTTTATTAAAAAATAATAAAAATCGGGTTAAACATATGTGACATGACGTCATTAATAATTGTTATTAAGTTTTGATAAAATAACTTGTTTTAAATCATTCAATGAATTTTTTTGATCTTCTGCATTGTATACCTGTAAAAGATAATAATAATATTATGGGGAGTTTAGATTTTATTTTAAATAAATAAATAAATATATTTACATTATTGTAAACGACCGTTGGCACGACTTTAAGTTTAGGTTTAAAATCAAGAGTTCTTCGGCCATTTTTAATTTGGTACATTTCGCTTTCTTTTCCATTTGTACAAACGTCGACACCATCGTATGAATAATTTAATTCTTTTGCACACTGAAAACAGAAAAAAAAAACAGTTAAAAAATGATTAGGATGATGATGATGATGATGAAAAATAAGAAAATTTTTGTTTCTTATACCATTTCACCGGAAGTTGGTGGATTTTTTGTCGACATTGTACAAACGCCAAATTTAACTTGTTCTTCATTATTATTATGTCTTGCAAAGAAACAAGCATGCATTGCATTACCCATACATTCTTTGACCCCGTGTTGACATGTCACCTTAAATGGATTTTCTTCAACCTGGAAATATTTTTTTTTAATAGTTGCCATCAAAGGAAACGTTTCATAATCTTAATCATCATCATCATTATTTTTTACATCTTACCTTACCGTGTCCGAATGGTACCAATTCGAAATAAACATTTTCTGAAACTTGTTTGTTTTCATATGCAGGTCCCAATTGAGTTTTGAAAAAATGCATCGAACCCGGACATAACGTTTCGTAAAAAATTGTTACGTTTAATTTTGCGAAACTTACCTTTAAATAACAAAAAAAGAAAATTTTATTATTTTAAAATATTAAATAATTTTTTTTTTTTTTTAAAATACCTGAATCGCAAAAATTGTTAATAATAATATAGTTAATGATGGATTGACCATTTTGTTGATATTTTATCACTTGTTAAACTAATTTTTCAAATTGAATTTGATATATAATAATTTTGGGCTTTTTTTTTTTTTTTTGATAAGCATAATTAATATTACTTAAATTATTGATAAGATAATGTAACATCATGTGATTTATTATTTAGACAATAAGATTGTACTTCCATTATACTGATACTACTACCAAAACAACTAAAAGTGTTGACATCAAAATATGAAAACCAAAAAAAAAAAAAAAAGTCAAGTATTTATTTTTCTAATATGTTTAAGATAATAAAATTAGTTTTTTTTTTTAAGCTCTGAACTTTAATTTTTTTTTATTTAATTCTATGTCATATAAAAACACACATTGAGGAATTAAATTTTTTTTAATAAAAATATAAACTAATTATTAATTATTGATTGATTGTTTAATTGAAAAGAAAAAAGTTTTGGTTTTATAAAATTATTAAATCACCACTTTCTTTTTCTTATTCTATAATAATAATAATATTTTCTTTTAAAATAATTACAAATCAGTTATTTCAATGATTTTTTTGGGGGGAAAAAATGAAATTGGATAGTCATAAAAATTAAATTTTTTTTTTTTTATCTCAAGTCCTTTTGTAATTTAAAGCTATTATCGGGACGTGATATAAAATTTTAATGTTAATTTATTTTACAATTTATTATCAAACATAAATGGAAAGTAATCATTTAAAATTTTTTTTTTCCTTACATGTGAAAAGAATTCAATAATTCAAAATGGCGAATTTTTAGTCGTCATGCGCAGTGAATCATTTTAATAAACGTTTTGGAGCCATTTTTTTCTATAGGCGGTGGCTAAACCGTAGCAAAACAATATGGCGGAGAAATGTTTCATCGTATAGTAAATCACAAATAACTTGTTCATTTTTTAAGTTTTATTTAAGAATAAGAATTTTTAAAATGGTAAGTATTTATTTATTTAATTAAATTTTTTTGTTTTTCTAAATGTTTTATTAATAATAACTTTGAACTAAATGTTTAATTACTAATAACGTGGGCATCGGTTGACGTCAAATAAATACTTGGTTATAGATATATATATTTCTATTAATGAATCATTTTTATAATTAATTTCATTTATTAAAATAATTTTATATTGCATTTTAAAATATTATTAAAAATTTTTGAAACGAATTTTTGTTTTTATAAATTTTACAATGCGTGACATTTAGTTGAAATGCTCTCATGTAAATTCATGTAGGCTTGATTTCCTGTTTGTACTGTTAGAAATTTAATCATTATTTTATGTTTTGAAAATTATAATGTTCATTTCAGGCTGCCACACTAAGGCCATATTTAACAGCAGTGAGGCACACCCTAACTGCTGCTATGTGCTTAGACAATTTTTCTTCTCAAGTTGTTGAACGTCATAATAAACCAGAAGTTGAAGTGAGAACTAGTAAAGAATTGTTGTTAACTCCAGTTATAATAAGTCGAAATGAAAAGGAAAGAGTTTTAATTGAAAGTTCAGTGAATTCAGTGAGAATTAGTATTGCAGTAAAACAAGCAGATGACATAGAGCACATATTATGTCATAAATTTATGAGGTTTATGATGATGAGGGCAGAAAATTTTGTAGTTCTTAGGAGGAAGCCTATCGAGGTGAGATTTAACCCATTTAAAAAAGTTTTTTAATTATCGAAATTAACATTTTGTCATAATTTTATTACTAAAAATATTTGTTTTGATATTTTAGGGCTATGACATAAGCTTTTTAATTACAAACTTCCATGTTGAGCAAATGTACAAACATAAATTGGTAGATTTTGTTATTCATTTTATGGAAGAAATTGATAAGGAAATAAGCGAAATGAAATTGGCTGTGAATGCAAGAGCTAGAATATGTTCGGAAGAGTTTTTGAAAAGAGTAAGTTTAAAACGCATATTATTTATTAAAAATTTTTGTGTAAATGAGACTCAAATACCATGGCTCCTTTATTAAATGAATATCGGGTCGAATTACATGACATACTTTTCTGATAGCAAAACCACATTATTACACTGATAAGTAAAAAACACAGACATTTAACAAAAGTCTTTTTATTTGCATGCATATCAAAAATTCATCCGAATATGAAAAAAAAAATGATTAGATATTTCCTTTTTCCTTTTTTTTTTACAATTAAAATTATTTATTTCAGTTTTAATATCAACAAACACAATCAACTGCAGAAAAACACACTGCCCACATCAATCCTAGTTTTAAAAAAAGGAAAAAGGTAAAAACTTTATCTAACAATTAAAAAAAAAGGCTTTCGAGAGAGAAACTTTCAAAATTAATTGTACTAAGATTCATATACATATTTCAAAATAATATTTATAAGATTTCTTTTATTATGATTATTATTATTATTATTTTTAAAACATAATTAATATGTTGATTTGTATAAAATGAATTTTTATTTTTTCTTTATTTAACAACAAAAACAAAATGAAACCCAAAAATTTGAATAATATTTATTCTTTATCGAGCTCATTATATTAAAATTATTAATAGCACAATTAATTAAATATAATATTATCAAAAAAAAAGAAACAATGAGGAATTATTATTACTATTATTATTACTTAGCCAATAAAAAAAAAATTTTTAATTATAATAATAATAATAAAAAGTTTACAAAATAAATGTAGTTTTAGATGTTTCAAATACTTTCGAGTATATATAAAAAAAAAACTAGAAGGTTAGATGAAATCTATTATTATTATTAATAAAAAAAAGTTTAATGATAATAATAATATTAATTATAATTTTTAATGATATATAAAATATTTTACTTTATTATTATTATTATTATTACATTGTTTTATTATTATTATTTTAAAATAGAGAGAGAGAGAGATCGTGATTTAAATATGTAAATAAATTTTTGACGTTTCAATTAATTATATCGATTGATTGATTGATTGATTTTTCTTTTTTTTTTGTTTACTATTTTCATTAAGTTGAGATAATTTTCTTTTTTCTTAACGGTTTTTTTTGGAAATGAAAGGATGTTAAAAAATGGTTTCGATCGATTTTTAAAATGTGAAAAAAAAAATAAAAAAATTTATTTAAAAAATGAGCGTGCAGGCACAAAAAAAGGTATTATTATTAATTTAATAGCTGGTGTTGCTTAAAAAAATTTATTTTCAATAATTATTTTACATAATTTTTTATAATTGTTTATAATTTAAATTGTTTTTTGGTCTTTTCCAAATCACAGAATTTTCTTTTTTTTTGATCGTATCGTATACTTAGGTTCATTTTATATAATCTCTTAATGAACGCCATATTGAAATTTTTAAATTGAATGTACATACATATAAATTTATTTGATTTTCACCCTGTTTTATTCCTTGTTTAGGAAATACTAATTTGCGAAGGTAACACAACATTTTGTTAACAATTAAATAAAATTTACAATAAAAATAAAAATAAATAAATGAAAATATTTGGACGGTTGAATTTTATGAGAATGATTACCGATATAGAAATTTTTTAATATTCTACATTGGGTATTTTGCCATTCTCTCAAATCTCCATTCGATGTTATACCAATCAAACAAAGTTCGTAATTATTACTCGTTAATAATTTTTTTTGTATATTCTTTGGCACGGTTGAATTCGGACCGGAAATATATTCTCTTATTTGTTTTCCGGTTAATATTTCTTTCCTCTTATTATAAGGTATTATTTTTTCATATGCTGTTGGACTTTGATCCGTTGTATTTATTCTCATTAGTAAATAAAAATCCGCAACGTCTTCTTTTGATGTTACCAACCATTGTAATGATAACGTTTCCGGTTTTATCCTATCGGAAAATTTATTAATCAATTTGTAATCATTTAATTAAATTGTAATTTTTAAAAAAAAATACTCACAATTCAAATTGTCGAAATTTAATATCGGGATTTATTTCATATTCTTCGTTTATTAATTTATTATTATTATTATTATTTTCTTCATCTTCGTCGTAATAATTATAATTATGATCATTGTTATCGTCATCTCTTTGGCATGTTAAAGTTGATTCTTTCAGTAGGTAAAACGTTTGATCTTGTAAAGGTTCAGGTCCGGAACATTTAACGGTTTTCCATTCTTTTGGAACGTCGACTTGATTTCGTATCCACCTATTTAAAGGTCGTGTTTGACAGGTACACTGAAGGGGATTCCCTGATGGATGTAAAAAAAAATTTTTAAGTAAAGTTTTACTCTCCCTTTCCCCCTCTCACTCCCTCGGGAGAACCAAAGACATTAATATCTTTTACTTAATTAAATTTTCTAGTAACTTTTCGAGTTAAGTTAAATTATTTAAAAATATAAATGAGAAGTCATTCATTTTTTTTTTTGTTTTCACAACAAAATTTTCATTTTTTATCGACATTTTCCAAATACCTGAATATTGAAATGAAGTTCCGTTATTTAATAGCATCATGAGCTCGGGATAAAATTCACTCAATTCGTTATTTTTTAAATCCACGTGACGTATTTTCGATTTTAATTTCGATAATTCTTTCAATGGTAAAACGTATAATTTATTATTCGATAAATATAATTCGGTGAGATTTTCCGGGGGACCGAAATAATTGGGTGGAAAATCCGTTAACTCGTTATAAGATGCGTCTAGAACTTTTAATGCCGTCAAATTACCCAAAACTCCTGTAAAAAAAATTTTTTTCGTTTGTTATCATTATCATTATCATTACATTTCGTGATAAAATTACAATTATTACCTCTTCTAACTTCGTTTATCATGTTGTGACTTATATTTAACACTTCAACATCTTTAGTCCCATACGTTAGATCGTACGTTATAACCGGAAGTGAATTATAACTCAAATCAATGATTCTTAAATGATATGGAATGTAGGGACTACTGGGAAATGATTTTCTAGTGAGGAAAGATATTTTATTGTGACTTAAATTTACCTGAAAATATCATAAAAATTACGTAATTTTTTTTTTAAAGAAGATACCAACTAAAAAATATTTTTTATTACCTTTTCGAGTGATAAAAAATCGTCTAAAAGTCCGTGAGTTTTGTTGTCTAATTTTTCTATACGATTGTACGACAAATCTAATTCTCTTAAAGATACTAAACCTGTATGAAAACATTTTAATTTTTTTTTTTATTAGGGTAGTACTTCCGGTGTTAATAAATTTCGAATCGTTATTTACCTTGAAATGCACCGTTGGGTATGATTGTTAAATTATTATGACTCAAATCTAATTTAAGAAGTTGTAGAAGACCATCGAAAGCTCTTTGAGACACGTTCGATATTTTATTACCAGATAAATTTAATTCAAAAACAACCGGAAGTCGTCCGAAAGCACTTTTTTCTAACGTCGTCATATTATTTCCCTTGTAAAATTAAAAAAAAAAAATTAATGAAAACTTTTCTCTTCCCCCCCAAAGAAGTAGGTTAACGCGTAATAATAATTACTTGAAGTTGTAAATATTGCAATGATGATAAATCCCCCAAACTTGACCATGGTGGATTATTAATATCGTTATAACTTAAATTTAACTTTTGTAATGTTAACAAACCCTCGAAACTTCCTTTTTCTAAATTATCTTGTAATAAATTATAACTTAAATCCAACGAAAGTAATGAATTCATCGTCGGCCATGTTTCGTGTGATGCCGGGATTTTTTCCAATTTGTTCCAGGATATATCCAATTCCGATAGGGATATCGGGATTTGAAATATTTTTGTTAGTTCATTATTACGAGCGTTTAATTGTCTCACGCTTGCCATTCTCGTCAAAGCTCCTCGACTTATATCTTTTAATTTATTATTACTTATGTCGAGTTGTAGTAGAGTCGGTAGTGCACCGAAAACAGAACTTTTTAACGATTCCAATTTATTGTGACTTAAATTTAAATATCTCAAACCTAACAAAACCTGAAAGACGCCATTGAAAACATCTTTTATGACGTTGTGACTCACGTCAATCGTATGCAATTCGTATAATTTCGGAAAAGTATTTTTCGGTATTGTTTTCAATTGATTATAAGACACGTTAAATATTTTCAATCCCGTCATGTTTTGAAGTGGTACCTGAAGATATGAAAAAAGTATTTGACGTAAATAACGAGTAAAAGTTTTTAAGAGTTTAAAGAAAAAGCAGAAGAAATAAAATTACCTGATTAAGCGATGTTAAATTATTATAACTTAGATCCAAGTGGGTGGCGTAGGTGGTACTATCAAAAGCAGTTTTAGGGATTTCTGATATTTTATTGTGACTCAAATCCAAAAGTGTTATATTTGCGCAATTTTCAAAAGCACCGCCTTCTATGTTGTTTATCAAATTATGGGAAACGTTTATCGTAACCAAATATAAATCTTTAAATGCTAATTTTTGTATTTCGGTAATTAAATTTTCCGACACGTCGATTATTTCAACGTAATTCAATTGATAAAACATTTGATAATCGATTTTTGTTATTTTATTCTTCGATAAATCGATAGTACCTATACGAGTTACGGATCCGAAAGTACCCCTACCCACATCCGATATTTCGTTGTCGCGAAATAAAAGTCTTCGTATAAAACGCATACCTCGAAACGAATTAGAATCTAATTTTTTTATAAGATTATTATTAAAATTAAGATATTTTAATACTGTGTTACGAGCAAATGCTCCCCTGAAATGAAAATAAAAAATATAATAAAAAAAATTTTCTTTTTTTTAAACCGCCGCCATGTTTGTTTTTCCAAGACAAACCTTGTGAGTTCTTTGACTGCATTATTCGATGCGTTAAACCATCCGAGTTTGTTAAGATCTGACATGTGAGAGGCGTCAATTTTGGTCAAATTATTATAACTTAAATCCAAAACTTCTAAATCTCTTAAACCTTTGAATTGATTCCTTTTTAATTCCTTTATATTATTCATGTGAAAATCTAAAGTTTTTAATTTTTTCAAACCGGTAAACATATCCGATGGTAATTCAGTTATTTTGCCATTTGTCACGTGTAATCTTTCCAACGTGTTTTTCATTAGAGACGATGAAAAAGTATTCGAATTTAAATTTTTTATAAAATGTCCGCGAATGTTTAAAATCGTTAAATTACCTAAAATCTAAATTTACAAAAAAAAAGATAATAATAATAATAACGAGGACGAAAAACGTGAAAGTTAAAGAAAATTTTCATTTTTCGAGTGTTTTTCTTTTTTTGGATAGTTGTTCGCAAAAAAAAAAATTTCACTACTTGGGAAAATTATTTATTTATTTCACCCACGATTGTTTGTTTGTTTTGGTTGTTTGGTTGTTTTTAACTTGTCACTAACCTGTAATGATTCTGTTGGATATTTTTCAAAATTCGTATCGAATAAATAAAGTTCTTGTAGTGTTTTGTTAACGCCTAAAAAAAAATGATCTTCGATAATCGTTAATGGCGTATCGACGACTTCGAATACTCGGATTTTAAGATTGTGTAAAACATCCCCGTATAATCTTCCTGAAAAACAAACAAACAAACAAACAAATTTTTCCGATTGTTTTACAATAGGCAAACAATAAAAATGCAAACGGGAAAAAATATACCTATGTTACATTTAGAAAAATATAATTTTTCAATGAGTAAATTTTCATTAGCAAAATTTTTAAGTCCGACGCTTAAACTTGCCAAATTTGTATTTTCGCAAACGATCGTCACTCCTCTTTCTCCAGGTTTTGCACATACGCATGGATATAATTGCGCTTTGTTTTTCGGACATTGATACCTTGGTCCCGGAGGAATATATTCCGATCGTATATGGGTGCATAATGTTAATAATAACACCCAATAGGAAAATTCCATTATAACCTTTAGAAAAAAAATTTTTTTTTTTTAATAAATTACGTCATTTACTATTTGTAGTCGTACCTGCGCCTTTTTTTTTTACTTTCTACCGTTAGGTAGAGAAGAGACAGACGAGTGGGTGATTTTTGGGTGGTATCCAAGTAGTAGTAGTAGTAGTAGTATTATTTTTACTATTTTTAAAAATTAAATTTTAAACCCTATTTTATCGTAGATAACATTGACATAATAATTTTTAATAAATATTTTAAATATGGCGGAATGAATATCGATTTTATTTGATAAATATCTCCTTACTCAAAATAAAATAATTGAAAGTGAAAAAAAAACTTTTTCCGATACGAAACGAGGTCAACAAACGGTGAAAATAAACAAACAAACAAACAATCGAAAATTAATATATTTAAAAAATTACCTTATGTTATGTATTAATAATCACATTTCGCATGGAAAGAAAATTTTTTTGTTTAAATTTTTTTTTTTTTTATAAAAAATAAATTATTTCTTTACGGTTTCAAAACTAAACTAAAGGTAAATCACTTTCACATTGTTTATGAGAGAACGAAAAATCCGCTTTCTGGTCCTTGAATACCTTGAATGTTGTTTTTTTTTTTTAAGGTATGCATTTGCCTACTGGAGAAATTTTTAAAAACGTATCATCTCACTTTCGAACATTAAATTATGGTAAAGAAAGAAAGAGAGAGAGAGAGATTTTAAATATGTAATAAGTTGATTGTGTACTGATAATACGTCATTTTTTATGTATAAATTGTCAAACTCTGGAAATTTTTATTGGAATCCTGGAACGGTTAAATTTCTGTAAGTTTAGTGTGAGGATGAATCACAATAATAAATTTCCATTAAATTTTTTTTTTTTTAAATTAATTTAAACTCAAATTTTGTTCATAAAATGTCGTAACAGCAGAATCAGGTATTGTTGTTGTTATTCCAGTTGTGATAAAATAAAAGATGAAAAGGTTCGTACGCAAAAGGTTGCCAAAAATTTATTTCCAGGAATCACATTTGGGAGGGTCACTCTTATGTCACTCATCATTCGTTATTTAAAAATGACATCATCGTTTTAAAATATTAAATAAAAAAACAAAAAAAAGGAATGGAAAACTATTAAAACCTAAAGAAACAGGAAAACAAATAAATAATAATAATAATAATAATAATAGTAAAACTTTTTAAAATAACCTGACTGGAGAATAATGATTTTAAAAAACTTTTTTACGGTATCTTTTTTTTTTTTTTTTTTTTTTTTTTTTGGAATTTTTTTCCCCAATGCAAAGATAATAAGAACAAAAAAATTAAAATTATTATTTTTTTTTTGTTTCGGATAAATTTTTTACGTTTCCATAAGTTTTTTAACCTTTGACCTAAAATATCGATCATCTTTAACCTTTCATCCTCTTTTTATAATTTGCATATAATTTTTAAACTATTATTTTCTCTCTATCTTTTTTTTTTTTTGTTAAATTTTTTTGTTTTATATACGTTTTTTTTTATGGGGGGGGAGAGGAGGATGGGGGGAAATGTTTTCCTAAGATAAAAACAAAAATTTTCTTTTTTAAATCTTCTTCTGGAAGATAATCCTCGGATTATTATAAAATCCTGGATTAACGTTTTTTTTTTTTTTGGTCGTCAACAACCCTTCAAGATTATGTGAAAATCTTTCAATTTTTTTTTTATTTTTAACATAACAGGTTTTGTACAAAAACTATATTTCCGCGTATTTGGGAGAATTCCCTGAGCAATCAGGTTCTTATTATGTCAGCCATCATTATTTGAAACGTTTTCATTTGCGAGTGACCAGGTTTGGTTATTTTTTATTTATTTTTACTTATTTTTTCCAATTTATTTTGATTTTTATGGAGGCGCAGGCCCTGTACCTGTCGTCTGCACTTAAACAAATTCGACATTTTTATTTTTTATCATTTAAAAATCAATTTTTATTGATTCTGTAACATTGTTATATTGTTGATGTATGAGTTTGTGGGATGATGTGAAGGATAAACAAATTTAAAAAAATTAAATTAAATTAAAATTAGAATTAAAATTTATTAAATTTAATTATTACTCATCTATAAATCTGATTCAACCAGAAAAATTATTTCAAATAAATAATATATATATATTATAATAATATAAATACTAAAAATATTTCATAATCAAATATCAATAATTTTTGTTAAAATAAAATATAATAAATAAAATTATTAATTTTTAATAAACAGAAATATATAGATTTTTTTTTGTTATTATTATATGTTATTATATATATCTTCGATTTTTAATTAATAATGTATTAATAGTAATAATAATAATAATAGTAATTATTTATTTGGAGAGTATTTCTCCCTGATTATTAACGTTAACTTTAGCTAATTCAGTAGGAGCTGATATCGATGCAGGTGGTGGTACGTTACCTGGAGTCCAAGCTCTAACTTCACTGTAAGATCTTGGAGCCAAATCTCCTGGAAAAAAAAGACGTCGAGGGGTTAGGGGAGCTTTTTAATAATTTTTCCTTCTTATTTAAATTTTTCCAATTGGATTTGAAAAAAATAAAAACCTTCTCGTATGTTTTGAGTGACTGTAAATGTTTTTCCAGTATCAAGTGGCACGGTCCAGTTAACAGGTTCCGGTGATCTTATGACAATTTGCTCCGGTGATTTGACCCTCGTAGGTTCAGGTGGTGATTTTATTATTTGTTCTGGTTCTAAAGCTGTCGTAAACTCTTCATCCCCTTCATCACCTGTTTAAAACGATTTTAAATTATTATTATTAAATTTGAAAAGTGATCGACTCCATAATAACATTTTTCCGTTAATGATTTATTCAAAAAAATTTTATTAATTAATCACGATTAATAATAATAACAATAATAATAATGACAACAACATGTAAAAAAAAAAGGAAAAATATAATTTTTGTGCTTGGGAAAAGCGTAAAAGCTTTTGATTTTCCATTTAGAAAAAAAGTAAGCATAGCAATATTAACTTACTTTCTTTTTCATAACAATTTTTTATGATGGAATATTCGTCGTCGTTGTCGTCGTCGGGTTATAGTTGTTGAGTAATTAAAAATAATTTTAATTTAAAAATGAAAATAATAACAATAATAATAACAAAAAAGGAAAAAAATTATTATTAATTGTTTTTTAATTTTTTTTTCTTACCTTTTCTATCCTTTTTTAATTGCGATGCTTTGGCGCCAGAAGGCACGGTTGTTATTAGAGATGCTGGAAGCAACAGTGAAATTTATGATAGAAAATAGTATCATCTACTGGATTTTTATTTGCATTTTTGTAAATTATATAAAAGAATAATAATAATAATATTGCCCTTATTTATTTAACTTAATCGTCAGTAAACCCTCATAATCCTTTTGTTTCAAAGAAAAAAAAAAAATTTCCCAACTCACATTCATCTATCTTTCTAAATTTTCTAAATTATTCTATTAATTATTCATTCGTAATAATTTTGAACCTAAATTTAACAAAAATAAATAAAATTTTTGAAAATTTTCTATAAACTAATTTACCTTAAATAATAATAATATTAATAGTAAAATTCCTAACCCATGAGAGTAACATTTATTAAAAAAATTATTATTATTAACAATTAATTACACACACGTGTGTGACACGCTCACATTTAGGTTGGTGATAATAAGCAAAAAATTTGTGCTTTAATTTTTTTAAATTGATTGACAATATAGCGAGATTAACAACACAAATGGGATTATCTTTATCCGGTATTAAAGATAAATAATTTTTCCATTGATTTGAGATTAATAATTGATATTGTGCGTTGCAGGAGGAAAAGTATCGCGCGAGTGTTGTATTAATAATAATAATAATAATAATAATAATCGATAGGAGACTATATTGAAGATGGATTTATGGTTAATTTGGAAAATTTAATGCCTTACTTGGTCTCGATCTTCGTTTTGACTTCTCCGGTTCCTGTATTAAAGACTTATGAATGGTCGGTGGTGGTGCACCGACATTAGATTCTTGACGTGTCCTATTAGGAGAGGTTCTCTTTACGTATAATTTTTTCATTTGAACATTACCTATCAACACAACACATTTAAAAGGAAATAATTTTCCATTAAAATGGATAAAAAGCACGCCATTTTTTATAGAGAGAGAGAGAGAGAGAGATAGAGAGGGACAAGCAAAAAAAAAAAAACTAAATTAAAAATTAATATTTGGTGTTAAAAGGGGGTAGAAGCAGACGAAAATGCTGAATATTATTTATTTATTTAAATCAAATTTTTTTTTCTCACCTTTTTTTGGCGATGATTCCAAATTTTGTTTTGGTGTTGGAGCCGTTTTTTTCTTATCCGGTTTTCCCTGATGTGTACCTGGTAAATGATGACTTCCTTTTGCCGATTTTGCTCTCGTTAATGATTTCAATGGTGAATTTTTTTTGTTTTCTTTTTCTTCTTTCGAAGATCTAAAAATTAATTTAAAAATTAATATTCATAATTTTTTCATAAATAAATAATTATTAATAATTAATTACTCATTTCTAGAAGAAACTGTTGTTGCCAATGATAATGCCGATAAAGTACTTCGTCGTGAAACCTGCTCCCAAACCATCATTTGATCGTTGTATAGCTGTGCTATGTGATCCGGTATCAATTCGGTACCCCAACCGCGATGCTACAATTTAAACAAAATTACCGGAAATGAGGAAAACAAACTTTTTTTTTGTAAGAAACCTTTTGTTCGTACATACCCTGTACTGATTAGCTTTTTGTCTTAGGAGTACAACTTCTTTATACCAAGACGATGATGGTAAATCACTTTCGGTTGTGCTGTTAAAAGCATTTACAGTAGGCCTCCTTTCAAAAACTCCTTTTTGTTCATCAAAATCATATTTATTAAACGGTTGAAAATTTTTCTTATATTCGCTTTTAAATTCTCTAAGTAAACGCAAAAGAAAAAATTCAATGAGTTTTACACGTTTTTCATTTTGAACAATAATTACTTCATTTTTTGTCCACAAAACTTTTTGACCTACCCGTCAGTATCATCGTGTTTAGATCCAGAATCATCACCGATTAAATTATCAGTTTCTGAATTTCCTTTTAAAGAATCATGGTCGGATTTATCTGCATTGTTAAAATAATAAAAAAACAATTTTTATACATTACTTTCTCCCCGATTAAAAATTATCATGAAAAATGGGGGCGAGGGGAGGGTAAGGGGGGGGATATATAAATAATATATATATGTATATAAATTACATTTAATTCCTCCAGTCTTTTTATGTACGGGAGCAGTCTCTTTACTCTTAATACCATTCATTGATACCGACTTCTTTGGCTGATTATCTGATAAAATATCATCAATTCTCGGATTTACGAGACTCGAAATAACTTGTTTAACTTTATTATTATTATCTTCTTTTTTGGGTGGTACCGTTTTTAATATTTCACTTTGTATTATATTATTGCGATTAGTAAAAGTCGTTGTGTTAACGGTTGCCTGGAAAGAAAAACGAAAAAAAAAAACAAATGAGAAGAAAATTTTTTTTCCCCATCATTATTTTTTCATTATCATTATTATTATTATTATTATTATTATTATTTGTTTACCTTTTTATCATATTTTTTATTAGAATCTCTAATTTTAGTGAATATAGAGGATTGATTTGGGATATTAATGGATCTGGTACTAATTAATCTGTACGATGATTTTCTTGCATGAGGACCTTCGGATTTGCTGCGCCTCGAATTCTTATTACGACACGAAGCCCACCTTTCCTCCGACTGTAAATATTTTTATTTTATTTTATTTTATTTAAAACTAATATTAATAATAATAATAATTTATTTATTTATAATGACGATACCCTTGCTCTATCTGATAAAAAATAATTTCCCAATAAAGCTTCCGATCCGCTATCATTTAAAAAATCATTTGTTTTATATGCTATTTCTGGGTGTTTTTTCCTTCTGGGTAATGCAGGCTCTTGTAAATTTTCTAAAATAAAGTTTTTTATATTTTTTTTTATTTTCCTTTTATCATTATTATCATTCCCTTTTTAATTTAATTTTTTAAAGAAGAAGCCTGTATACCTGAGATAAAAGGTTGCGGAGGTCTTCTCACGACAACATCATCACGGTTAGATCCTTTGTATTCATGCCAACGATAAGTGCTTCTATATTCTGAATTTAGCTGAAATTATCACAAATCTTATAACTCGTTTTCCTGGGGAGGCGGGGGGGAGGGTGGTGTTAAAAATTTTCGTCTAACAACTATATATATTATTTAAATTTTTATATATATCTTAAATTATTTTAAAAATACATAATAAAAACAAAAAACAAAAACTTTTTACTTACTTACGATTATTTAAAATGAAAAAATTTTATTAGAAAAAAAAAACCTTTTGAACTCCCCAAAATAATGCAGACGAATGAAGTAGAGGAAAAATGAAAAATAAAAATTTTTCGAGTTCGACTGTTTTGATTGATTTAAAAAAAAAAAAAAAAAATTAATTGAAAAGTTTTTTGTTTTTTTTTTTGTTTCTATTTTCGAAATACACTTCAAATATGAAAAAACTTTTTGAAAGTCATCATCATCATCATTATTATTATTATTATTAAATGATAAAAAAAAAAGAAACTTTAAACCTTTTTTTTTACGGTGGAAAACCCTTTTTTTTACCCTTTTTACCTTTTTTTTTTTTTTTTTACAACATCGTTACCTTAATTAATTAATTAATAATTAAATAAAAAAGGCTTTTATTATCATTATTATCATTATCATTTTTCCGGGGGTTTTTATATAATTCGAGGCGCAAGGAAAAGAAGAAGAAAATTTTTTTTTTTTTTCGTATAAAAGGCTCGAGTGTTTGTGAGTGTGTGTGTGTGTATAAATCAATAATTGATTTTTATTATTATTATTATTATTATTATTATGAATCAATTATTTTAATGGGGAGGTGATAGAGGAAAAAATGTGCATTTTCCAAACAAAAAAAGAAAAGAAATATAATTATTATCATAAATAATTTACCTTGTCAACTGGAAGTGACGGACAAGCTCGACACATGTTCCAAAAAGTTCCGATCATTTTGTAATAAAATAATAATAATAATAGTAATAGTAATAATAATAATAATAATAAATAAATGAAATTTATTAATAAATTCAAACGATAATTTTTTAGTTTTTTTTCTTTTTTCCAAGGGGTTTAAAACCCCATAATCAAACTCGAAAAAATTATTTATAAACATAAAAATTAAATTAATCTTTTTATTTTTCTATTAAATTCGATTTTATAATAATAATAATAATAATAAATAAATAATTTACGTCATCGTCGTCGTAATTCGCGTACAAAAAAAAAAAATTTTTTTTTACACTAATAACATAACAGGAAAAAAAAAACAAACGCGTTTTTCATAGTCTCTCTTTAAATATCCTCGGCCCCCCCCTTTCGATTTTAATAGTTAAAATTTTTTTTTTTTTTATTTGTTGGTAACACTTTTTTCACACTATCACGACCTTTCACTTTTTTTATTATTAGAAAAAAAACAACAACAGAAAAAAAATTATGAAAAATATAAAATTTAATGATGGTAGAAAAGGTTTTTAATAAAACGCATGCGTTTTAATAAACGACGACAGTAAAAAAAAAAAAAAAAGAAAATTTTTTTTTTGTGCAATTTTCTTTCTAGTTTTGATTTTCTCACATCTCTGGAAAATCAATAAACCCTTAAAAAAAAAGAGCTTATACTTTGTATTAGGGTGAGGGTTGTTGTGTGACTCTACCGGTGGAAAATTGTACTATTGAAAAAGTATCTCTCTCTCTCTCTCTCTTTTCTCCATGTTTTTTTTATATACATAACATATTCATAATAAAAAAATAACGCCTGGAATATTTAAAATTTAAATGTCGACAACACGCCAAAAGAAGAAAATTCCGTGGGAAAAAAAAAGGAATCGGGAAAATTTTCTTTTACGCCATTTTTCTTTTCCTTTTTCTCCAAAGGTTTTTTTTTTGTTTCACGCGATTAAATTTTTAATGATGATAATAATAATAATAATGGTTTTATGCGTGGGTTTCATCTAGCCAATAAAAGCAATTTAATTCTAATTTTCTTGCGTATTTTTTTTCTCTCTCTCTCTCTTTCTCTCTCCCTTTCTCTTTTCGATAAAAAAAAAATTTTCTTTTCCAAAAATAAAAACGACATTTTAATCGTTTTGTTGTCGTCGTCGTCATCATGGCCGTCGTTTTTCCTTTTTTTCTTCGATAAATTTTTTTTGTTTTTGGAGAGAGAGAATAATAATAATAAAGCATTTAAGCACACATCAACATTTTTAAATTATTATTTAATTTATTTACCTTTTATTTTAAAGCAGACGAAACTCTCAACGACACGTCGCTCTAAACAGAATGAAAGCTTTTCCTTCAATGACTTCATACACACACACACACGCACACACACACACACAGACAAACACACAATTTTCCTTTTTTTTTTTTTTTAACGTTGTGTAGGCTTCGATATTTTTTTCTTAACTGTCACAACCCTTTAATTTTTTTTTAAAAAGGAAAATTTTCTTTTTTCTTTTTATCGTATTTTCCTTCTCTTTTTGATTATTCACCCTCTTTTAATTTTTAATTTTCCTTTTTTTTTTTTTTAAGGGCGTGTACGATTTTTCTTCTTTTTATTCGTTTGTAAAAGGGGTGCCATGTGCAAATTGTAATGTTTACATCATCATATCCCTGATTCATAACTTAAAAAAATTTTTTTTTTTAAATAAATAATTGAGTTATGACGTCATCAATCAATTGTATTTTTCTTTTAAAACATTTTAAATTCTTTCATAATAATAATAATAATAATAATAAATCATAAATAATTAAATGGGCATCTGTTTTTCTTTTACTCTCTTTTAACAAAAAAATTTATTATTATTATTATTATTAGATTTAAACGATGAGTTTTATATACGTGACCGAAATATTATTATTATTATTATTTAGTTATTAGGGGAGGGGAGGTTAGTTATTCTCATCGAATAAATAATTAATTTATATAAGAAATAAAAATGTCAAATTTATTTCAAAGATTTTACAACATTATTTTTTTTTACAACTTTTTTATTTATTTATTTATTTTTTATTTATAATGATAATAATAATAATTTATTTTATAATGATCAATAGTTATTATTATTATTGTTTCTTACTTCATATTTTAATTTTAATAATTATTTATTATTATTATAAAAAAAAAAACCTAAAATTAACTAACAGAAAAAAAAAATTTTTATTTATTTATTTTATTTATTTATTTTCATTTTATTTATAAATTGTTATTAAAAATAATAAAAATAATAATAATAATAATATTAATAATAATAATAAAAGATCATTGATCGATACTTTTCATATATATATATATAATAATTCGCGAAAAAAATTCGAATGAAAAGTTTTAAAAAAAAAAAAAAAAAAAAGTAGACAGAAAACAAGAACGATGAAAAATAACGCTGGGAGGAGAAGCGAGGGGAGGGGGGAGAACTGGCTGGGGCGGGAGGTAGGGAGGTAGAGGGAGTAACGAGAAGAAAAAAACACGAAAAGAAATTTCTAGAAAAAATAAAAATAAAAAAATACCAAAATTTGTTTTATCCATATGTGTGTATATAATTCGAAGGTTAGTAGTAAGTAAATTTCAAAAAAAAAAAAAAAAAAAAATTTTTACAAATTATTCTTTTATTCGTTAAAATAATCAATCATTCATTCATTCATTCATTCATTCTATCATTCTTAAAGAACGAATCAAAATCGGTTTAATTTCATTTTTTTTCTCTCTCTCATAAATAATAATAATAATAATATTAATAACTACGATTTAATTAATTAATTCATTAATTTTTTCTTTATAAAATGGCTCTCGCGTTTATTAATTAATTTCTTTCTTTTCTGTTTTCGTTACCTGTTAAAAAAAAAAAAATAATAATAATAATAATTTCATTTTGTTCAGTTGTATAAACAAACAAACAAGCAAACAAACGTCAAACAAACGTCGAACGATTTTTTTTAATCGGAATCAAATCGAAGTTTTCGAGGAAAATTTTCCTTTTTTTTTTTTTTGATAAAATCAAAAATTGCACTTTACAATCAAAGGAACTAGAAAATTAATGATAATAATAATAATAATAATAATAATTTTCCTACGGGGATAAAATAAACAAGATCTCAGTCTTAAAACGGATAAATAATAATAATAATAATAAAATCTTTGATTTTTGTTCAGTAATGACGAAACAAAAAAAAAATTTAGTAACCGTTTTTCTTTTTTTTTATCCATTCGATCAATAAATCAAATCGAGCTTTTTTTTTTTTTAACTTTTTCCCATCACCATAATCATAATCATCATCATCATCGATTTACGTCAACGTCATAATTTATAAAACGATAACAATAATAATAATAGTAATAGTTTTTCAAGGAAAACCAACAACCCTGATTAATTCACCAACGTCGTGGAATCCTTTTGGACGAAAAACTTTTTTTTTCCTCTCCCTCCCCCTCCCCTTCCTCGACTGCGTTTTACGCATCGCCTCGTAAAATAAAATAAAATAATAATAATAATAAATAAGTAAATAAATAAATAAATAAAATAATTTTAAAAAAACTATTTTTAAAATGGCGGTGTGATTAATGACACATTTTTATTAAATTTTTTTTTTTTTGTACTCCGATTTGAAATATATATATATATATATGTATAGAAAAATCGTTCGCGCGCTTTTTTTTTGTCTTCTGCTATTGCTTTCTCTCTTTTTATTTTTAATAAACAAAAAAAAAAAAAAAACATAATAATAATCTGATGAGATCTTTCAATACTGATTTAACCGATTAAATCTTTTATTTTCTCACGCTTTCTCTCTTTCTCTCTCTCTCTCTCTTTCTTTCTCACTCTTACAAATGTCATTTTAATTTCATTTAATTTTTTTTTTTTTTTTTTGTTTTTGAAATTTTTAAAAAATTTTTTCCGCACTTGAAATTAAACCATTTTCCGGAAACTCATGAGCATAATAAAAACAAATTTTAAAAATATCACCAACTACTTGAATAATCTAACGTGACGTAACTCTTTTACAATAATAATTATAATAATAATAATAATGATTTTTACTCATAGTCACCATAGTTTTTTTTTTTTTTTTTTCATTGATTGATTGTTAGTCACTTTCTATGTACAAAAAAAAAAAAAGAAAAAAAAAAGAAAATTATTCTCAACATAATTTTTATACAAAGTTTTTCAAGCACTGTACATAATCTAAACTTTCCCTTGATTGGGTTTGATTAAAAATTTAATTAATAATTAATAATAATAATAATAATGATAATAATAATTGATCTTTTTTTTTGTTCTTTCTTTCACCCATTTCATTTAATTTTTTAAAAAATCTACAAATTAATTTTCTTTTTTTTTTTTTAAATTATTATTAATCGCTTTTACACTTGATTTAACTTTGATTAAAATTGAAAATTTCTTCTGCTTTTTTTTTTTTATATTTTTTTCATACGAAGAACGTTTTTCTAATCCATTATCCCCTCGTTTTAAGCGTTCAAATGATTACAGTATATGAGATCAAAAAAAAAAAAAAAAATTATTATGTTATTATTAATATTATTATTATTATTATTATCATCATTACTGAACCTTTCAATTTATTACGAG